TATTTATTAGCTGCAGCTCTAATTGTTCAGCAAAGACTGAAATGATGCACAAAAGCCAGGTAGTGGTTTGGAATATAAATAAACACTCTATGACAGTTTCTAAATAAATAATGCCATTAATCCAGCAGTGCGTGCCTCTCTCTATCCTCCCTCCCTCTGCTCCCATTTTTATTTGTTGAAAGGAGTTAGGAGAAGCATTGTGGTGTGTGTGTGTTTGTTTTATTTATTCCCAGAATAATGTTGCCTTGGCAACCTATTCCAGCCCCCTCCCGCCAGCTATAGGTCTTAGTTGCAAAGTTGCTCAAAGGGTGCAGGGCGGTGGTGGCTGAAGAATTTGCCAAATGAAATAGCCTGAGAGAGAAGAGAGTTGGAAATGGTAAAAATGGAGAAGGGGGTCAAAATCCCCGTGGAGTAAAGAATGCTGGGGGGGTGGGGAGCGAGCAACATGAGGGGTGGGGGGAAAGCGGTGGGGCGAAAGAATGATATGAGTCAAGTGCTCTGTAGCAATTCATTTTACATTAAGTTGCCTCATTTTTTGCCATTGTTTTACTGGGAATGTGTTTTGGGAATGTGAAGAATGTGGGAGTAACCATGGAAACGGAAACTCAACAAATTAAGATCTCTGGCACCCCCTTCCCCAATTACATGCCCCTCCATGTAATATATCGTGTTGCACAATACATTCAAGAAGCAGTTCAATGGGTGGAAATGCACAGTCCATTTGGGCCCAACATCAGATGGTCCAGCCCAGCCTTAAAAGGGGACTACGTGTGTGTGTGTGTAGGGTTCATATTTTGTGCTCAAGTCAAACCTAGATTGGCACTGAGGGAGCAAAAAAGAGAAATCTTTGGCTGGGACATCATAGAATCACAGAAGAGTTGGAAGGGACCCAAGGGTCATCCAGCCCAACCCCTGCAATGCAGGAATCACAGGTAAAGAAGCCCTGGCATATGGCCAGCCAACCTCTGCAAAAAAAACCTCCAAGACAGGAGAGTTCACCATCTCCTGATCCACCGTTTCTGTTGCCTTTCGCATTTCTGCTTAGACATTTTGCTGGTCTCACAATGACCTACTTTCTGTATCCGTTCTTTGACATGGGGTGGATATGTATAATATATGTGTAACACTTCAGTCATGGCCAGTGTCAAGGGGTCAGAATTCTTGGGCATCTGCTTAGGGCTCACAACCCCAGCAAGGCACCTGCTGATAAGAGCCCTCTGAACTTGCTGCAGTGAGGAGGTAAATTCACAGAAGTGGAAAGACCTATGGAGGGCATTGCACTCAAGGGGCCTCTGAAACCTGAAGACAAAACTGACTTAAGCACTCTTCAGGCATGACACATTGGGTAGGGCCATAGCTCAGTGGGAAACCACCACCTTGCCATGCAGAAGGGTCCGGGTTCAGTCTCAGCTAGAGGGAGCAATGGCCTGACTGGGTCCATTGCAATTTCATATGTTGCTGGGAAGGACCCTATCTCAAGTGGTAGAGCACCTGCATTGCATTTTACATGGATAAGATATCAGGTTCAGTCCCCACCATCTCCAGGTAAGCCTGGGAATGGCCCCTGTGAAAAGGAAGAGCCACTGCCAGTCAATGCAGTTATTACTGAGCTACTGTAGGTGGACCAATGGTCTGAATCAGTAGAAATCAGTTTCCTATGTTCCTGCACATGAACCTGCTCCAGGAGTGTGTGTTCTCCAGACTCAGAGATCCTTGCCATCATTCGCTGGTACTGCAAGCAGGATTAGGCCAGTGAGAAGAGCAGTGGCTGGGACTTCTGCATGCCAAGCAGGTGCTCTGCTATTGAGATACAGCCCTTCCCCACTACTGCAGCCCAGGTGTGATTCTTACAATAACAACAAACCTATGGTGACGTGAAACATACTCAATAAACACACAAGACGTAACCGGCTGTACTTTTGAATAAATAAGGTATACTATTCATTGTATCAAATTGTAGATTTCAACGGAAGTCTCATAAAGTTCAACGAAAAAAGCAGAAGACCCAGTGGATCAGTTCATTCTATAGTCAGTTCATGCATAAGGTCCATAGATGTATAAGTATCTATTCCACCTGTCTGTTCTTAGAGTCTAATAATCAACATGAAGGGTTGTTACAGTTCCACAGGAACCTTTCACAAAGTCTAAGACAAGGATTTCCGGAATATTAGCCTTGTTTCGCCATCCTAGGCTTCATCAGTAGATCAGGCTCATATGTGATATTACAGGATAGTGGATCTTATAGCATAGTAGTGGTTGCAGTGTTTTGTTTTTTTTAATACCCCCATGTTTCCCCAATGAAACTGCAGCACATGCTGAAGAAATCAGCAACCACAGTGTAAGCACTCCCCCAGTAATTCTGGTGGAAATAGCCTTCCAAAACTCTTTCAAGTGTCTCCTCCATTCTCATTAGGACTCTGTCATTCCCCAGCTTTTGAAATCCACACACAATAGTCTACCTCGCAGGGCAAATATTGTCCTCCACCTAACCCTGGCAGTGAAGCTAATGGCTGTTCAAGGGGGCCCATGCATCTTAATAAAAAATGGAAATGGTTTTGCCCCTTCATTTTAATTAACATTATGTCCACATTTCGATGATAATGGATAATTAAGTAAGTTACCTTGACATTGGAATGCTCTTGGAAATAATTTATGGTGTAATTTCATTAGTGGGGAGAGACATTTATCTGTTTTATTTTCATATCAAGGGTTGGACATAAATATTTCTGGATATCATTTGTGCATAAGCTAATGTATATTTATAGAGCATGGTTTCTACAAATCTTGGAAAGGTTTGTTTACTTCTGTCGGGGTTCTCCCCCATCCCCCCAGTCCCACAAACACAAATATTCATCTATTCTTTCAAAGAGGAGTGTTATTTATTTTTCCATCAGCTTTGCCTGATGTATTATTCTGAAAAGCACATCAGGATCAGGGTTGGGGGAACCATTCTGAAACCACCCTCATTATTTTTGGAGCAAGTAATGCAAAAAAGCAGAGTTGTCGGAGTTGATTATAATTTGGAAGGGGGTAAAAAAAAAAGTTAATAAAAAAAATAGACCGATAAAATCTGAGCAGAATTTATTCAGAGAAAATAGTGTCGGTCTAAACTCATGCTTGCCCTTCAGGTTGAAAAAAAAAAAGAGAGAGTTGCTAATCAAATCTTTGCTCAAGCAGTTCTAATAAATAACCCTATGCAAAAATGAACGAAAAGTAAATATAAGGGGGAAATGGGAAAAACTATATAATGTGTTTCTAAACACACACACATCCTGGTGCTAAATATATGCATAAGAAAGTTTATTTTATTGGTTCCAGCAGAGAATAGTCAAAGTGAATATAGGAACATAAAACGAGCCTGCTGGATCAGACCAATGGCCCATCTAGTCCAGGATCTTGTTCTCACAGTGGCCAACCAGATCCCTCTAGGAAACAAAAGGGCACTCTTCCCTCCTGTAGTTTCAAGTAACTGGCATTCAGCATCATGTCACCTCCAAAAATGGAGGTAGAACATAGCCATCATCGCTGAGAGCCTCATCCACTATTAATTTAGCTAATCCTCTTTTTAAAAGTAATGCAGGTTACATTACTTGCAAGAGTGAATGCCATAGTTACTATGTGCCAAGTACAGTGGTACCTTGATTCTCAAACTTAATCCGTTCTGGAAGTCCGTTCCAAAACCAAAGCGTTCCAAAACCAAGGCATGCTTTCCAAATAGAAAGTAATGCAAAATGGATTAATCTGTTCCAGACTTTTAAAAACAACCCCCAAAACAGCAATTTAACATGAATTTTACTATCTAACGAGACCACTGATCCATGTACTGCAGTCACACAATCAATCAATCAATCAATCAATCAGTAGCTGAACTGGATTCCACACAGTTGCAAAAAACAAAACAAAAAGATCCACAAAAACAAAAATGCAAAATAAATAGCAAAGACAGAAAGACATCAGCGTAACACTCAAAACAAAGTGTGGCACTCAAAACGGAGCACGTTCGGCTTCTGAAAAAGTTCGCAATCCGGAACACTCCTAGCTGCTACATTCTGGATTAGTTGTAGTTTCCAAGGTAGCCCCACATAGAGTAGTCCACACTGCAGTAGTCCAAGCGGCAGATAACTAGAGCATGCACCACTCTGCAGACAGTCTGCATTCCGGATGGAGCTGGCAAACAGCGGCCCTGGACACAGAAGTGACCGGCACCTCCATGGACAGCTGTGAGTCCAAAGTGACTCTCAGGCTGAACACCTGGTCTTTCAGGGGCACAGTTACCCCATTCAGGACTAGGGAGTCCCCCACCCCCACCCCCACCCACCCCTTGTCCCCCAAGGACACTTAGATGTGCCAGGGATCATTTAGGAAGCAGCAGCATTTTCCTTGGAAGCTGAAAATTGAGTTGGATGCCTGGCTGGTTTAAACATCGGAATCTACCAAGTTAGATGCATGGGTCCCTGTAAGCCAGTGGCGTAGCGTGGGGGGTGCAGGGGGGGCTGGCCGCACCGGGCGCAACATCTGGGGGGGGCGCGCTCGCACTCGCAGCTCTCTGCCCCTACCTGGCTCACTCACTCTCTCTCACTGCAGTGCTGGCTGTGCGAATCCAATCCGAGCCGCTGGGTCGCCGCCCACTGTGGAGGGGGTGGGTGCCAGGCGTGCGGTGCGGAGAGAGAGCGAGGGACTATCTGGGAGGAGAGACAGTGCAGCGGCCGCCCAGCGCCGCGCTGAGCGCGGGAGAGAACCACACCAGACCAGCCCAGGCAGCAGCAAGAAGAAGCTGGCAGCGGCGGCAGGTTAGGGGTTAGGGGGCGCAAATCACTTGCCTTGCCCCGGGTTAGGGGGTGCAAATTACTTGCCTTGCCCCGGGTTAGGGGGCGCAAATTACTTGCCTTGCCCCGGGTGCTGACAACCCACGCTACGCCGCTGCTGTAAGCTCAGTATTCCCTACAATGACTGGCTATGGCTCTCCAAGGTTTCAGGCAGGAGACATTCCCATACCTGCCTGGAGATCCCAAGGACTGAACCTGGAACCTTCTGCATGCAAAGCAGGTGCTCTACCACCAAGCTATGGTTAAATCACAGAGCTTCCCTGTGTTAATCTGGCAAGCAAATCAAGCTTCTCTGTGTGCTAAAAAACACAGTGTTTTTAAGGATGAGGTATTGTCAGGAGAGGGTGAAGGGGCCAGAGTTGCTGACCTCGTTCATCTTCCCAGGTCCTTCTAGGACAGTTCTCCCTCTCAAAGGTAACCTAAATTTGCATGTACCATATACATGTCAATGGGCAAATGCGGGCCTGTGCCCCAAGTTTTTTCAGCAGGGGTCAGGAAGTTTCTTAAGCCAAAGTTGACCTTCAGTGAGATGAAACTTTCTGAGGGCCACATGCCAATGGTGGGTGGGGTCAAAGGCAGACCCTCCAAGTGTCCCTCTTTTCTAGGGATGTCCCTGACTTAGAGAAGCCACCCCGGTTTCTGATTTGATCCCAGAATGCCCCACTTTTCCTTAGGATGTCCCTATTTTCATTTGAGAAATGTTGGAGGCTATGAAATTATTTGACCCCCTGAAGTCAATTGTCTGAAGGCAATCCTGTATAGGGAAGGGTTGTTTTTTTTTTTAATAATGTTTAATGTTTTATTGTGTTTTTATGTATGTTTGAAGCTGCCCAGAGTGGCTTGGGCAACCCAGTAAGATGTATGGAGTATAAATAGTAAAATTATCATTATGGAATGGGACGTCCCTATTTTCATCAGAGAAATGTTGGAGGGTATGCAAAGGCAAAAGTCGATGGTGCAAAGAGGCCCCCTCAGAGTTCAAAGACCAGTCAGGCAAAAACACTCAAAGAAGGTGGCAAAGGCTGAGTCGGTAAGAGGATGTGACCTGGGGAAAGAAGGTGTGGTATGGGAAAAATCCAGAAGACCAATTGGAGAGGCTTAGAGGGCTGCATCTGGCCCATAGGCCTGAGGTTCCACACCCCTACTACAGGTCTTCTGCTAGCATTTAAAGAAAGAATTGCAAGGAAACCTCTGGTTTCAGAACATGATAGGTCAGGATCCTAGAGTTCTCCCTAAGGGACCTCAGATCCTTTGAGGATGGGTTGCTCCACTCTGTTTCAATGAATAGGCATTACCCTAGAGTATTGTCATGCTTCAGTACAGCTCCTAATCATTTCAATGGGGTCTTCGGAAGAGCCATTCTATGAAGATTGCATGCCCCTGGTATTTGAAGATAAAGTATTAACTGGGATTGGTGGGGGAGTGGTGAAAATAGTTCCACACAGATATATATTGTTATCTTTGGTCCTTTCCGACCCTTCCTTAGAAAGATATCAGGGAGCCAGCCTTAGTTCTGATTGCATGAAGAAATGGTTTGCAATTTGCAAGGCTTAAGTAAAATTGGAGCTTTCAAAAAGAAAATCACTAAAATGGCTATTTGGTTTACATGCTGAGAATGGGGAATATATATATATATATATATATATATATATATATATATATATATGAGAAGAATCAGCATTAGCTGTTCCTTCTTTCATATGTAGACAAATATTTTATCATACGGCATCTCTTGCAAGCACAAATATCCTCTATTAAACCTTGTGCAGTTTTCAGCACTGATATAGTGGCTTTTTGGAATTTTAACCCCCCCACCCCCTATCAGGCTCATGCTGGTATCAAAAACACCATGTCATTCCCTCAAAAAATTATTATTTTTTTACCATTATTAGAACCGTGGGAGATTAAATATGCTAGAAAATTACTCATTGAAATCAGCTCTTCTGAAAATTTCTTTAGCCATGGGGCCCACTGTGGCATCCTCCTAATGTCATTGGAGTTCATTCCCACCAGCATCAGCCAGCAGGGCCAATTAAAGCCACCAACTTGGATGGCTATAAACGAGGACGAGATAAATTCATGGAGGATTTGGCTGTCAGTGGCTACTAATCATAATAGCTTTGTTTTGCCTCCTCTTGAGAGTCTCGGAGCTTCTTCTTCTTGTTGTTGTTTAGTTGTTTAGTCATGTCCGACTCTTCGTGACTCCATGGACCAGAGCACGCCAGGCACTCCTGTCTTCCACTGTCTTTGGTCAGACTCATGTTTGTAGCTTCGAGAACACTGTCCAACCATCTCGTCCTCTGTCGTCCCCTTCTCCTTGTGCCCTCCATCTTTCCCAACATCAGGGTCTTTTCCAGGGAGTCTACTCTTCTCATGAGGTGGCCAAAGTATTAGAGTCTCAGCTTCAGGGTCTGTCCTTCCAGTGAGCGCTCAGGGCTGATTTCCTTAAGAATGGATAGGTTTGATCTTCTTGCAGTCCATGGGACTCTCAAGAGTCTCCTCCATCAGTTATCGAAGCTACCGACATGAGTTTGACCAAACTGCGGGAGGCAGGGGAAGACAGGAGTGCCTGGCGTGCTCTGGTCCTTGGGGTCACGAAGAGTCAGACATGACTAAACGACTAAACAACAACAACATGCCTCCTCTGTCAGAGGTAGTACGCTTCTGAATACTAGTTGCTGGAAACCACATGAGGAAAGAGTGCTCTTGTGCTCAGGTCCTGCTTGCTAGCTTCCATCAGATATCTGCTTGGTCACTTAGACTGGCACGATCCTTCAGGCTCTTCTTATGTTCCTTCATCCTCATGGTTCAATGCAAGGTCTAACATTTGCGAGGCAGTCCAGTTATCAGTCCTAAGCAAAAAGAAGCAAGAGTCCTTGAGTCTTTTGCACAGGAGTCTTCCCCCCTCTCGTGAAATACAAAAGCGCTTCTAAGCAAAGGGAGGATTCATCAGAGTCTCTAATTAAAAACATGACAGCTGGTGAATGAGAGAATTTTGTCTCTGCACTGCTGTTCTCTTATGTTTCATGATCCTAAGAGCCCCAAGTACGAATTAATTATGACTCAAGGACCCTCATGCACCCATAGAATGGGGGTGGGGGTGGCAGAAGCAGTGGTGACTGGTGCCCAATGGCCTGTTAAGGTGGAAGGCAGAGAGACCAACAGTGGGTGGCACCAGAGCCAGTGGTAGGCAGAGCCAACTGTTTCTGGTTTTGTCCTCATCTTCCTCCCTACTGAGTTAGCCAAAGGTTAGAGTGAGACTAAGGAAGAGGAAGCCAACAAAAAATGACACAGCCTGGGCTGGATGCAAGTATACGGCTGGCAGGTAGGGCTGGCTGAAAGAAAAAGGAGGTTGGTGTTGCAGTGCCTCATTTGCCCTAATGGACCACCCACCAGTGAGTAGCAGGGAGAAGATGATCAAAATGCAAGCAAGGAGGCCAGTTCATACATTCAGCACTATCAAGTTGTAATTGCAGTTCCATGAGAGGAATAGGGGTCATGTAACAACTCTCAACACCCTTCAGAAACTACAGTTCCCAAGACTATTTGGAGGAAGCCTGTTTAAAGTCATCTGATACTGCATTGAATGGAAGGCACAGAAGGGGCCTAGCATGGGCCTTTTGCCTGATCCACACATCCTTGACCCCAACTGCATTTAAAACACTCTTATAGCACTTTCACAGTCATAGTCCCCCCCCCACCAAGAATCCTGGGAACTGTAGTTTGTAAAAGGCCCTGAGAGACGTTAGGGTCTCCTATTCCCCTCACAGAGCTCTGAGTCCCAGTGTGGTTTCGCAGTCAATCCCTCTTCTCAATGAACTTTGGGAATCATAGCTCTGAGAAGAGAACATGGGTCTCCTAACATCACTCAGCACCCTTAACAAACTACAGTTCCCAATATGCTTTGGGGAAGCCATGACTGTTAAAACTGGTATAAGAGTCATTTAAATGTATGGTGCTGATGTGGCCTTAGTGGAACTCTGTACACCATGGGCCATTTTGGAAGCTTGAACTGAAATCCCACTCTGAGCTCATTTAAGAGTAATACTTTATCACATAAGCTATGATTTCCCCTGTATCATTCCAACAAAACTAGCTTGGCAAGATTTCACACACACTTTGTTAGCTAATCAAGGACAGATTGCACTGGGGAAAACCATATCTAAATTTATTAACAAAATTAATAGACCATTTCAATTTTACTAGACTTAAGTATAAAGATATAGTAAGTCTTTGGGGCAGCCAGTCTCTATTACTTGTAACTTTGACCTGCAGTCAGTGCATAATGAGAAATTGACATCTAGATTAGAACTGCGAGAATGACACCGATAATAATAAGATTCAGGATCATTAGGGAAATGAGGCCAAATGCGATACTTCTGTCATTCTATTCTATTTTATTTCTCCCTGTTATTTCTCGTGAGTTGATTATATTGTGCCAGCTTCATTGTGGCCTCGGCCCTATAAGCACACAGTGTTGCCTTTTTGGGGGGGTGGGAATTATATTACTCAGCCTCTAGTCCGTTTCCATGCTTCAGTCTGTAAAATTGAGACAAGACTGACCTATATATTGCATGTTGGTTGTGTGAATGCAGGGAGTAGCCTCCATCATGGCAGTGGGATGTGAAGCAAGGCTGGTGGGAGGGGAGAATATTCCTCAGATGAAAATAGGGACACTTCTCACTCTCCCTCAACTGGCCCTCCTTGACACACCCACACCCATTTTTCTCTCCCATTGAGCTCCACTTCACTCCCTCTTTCTTTGCACCCAGGGTGGCCCTGCCCTCTGCCTGCCCCTCAGAGCTGGTGCATCTCCAACAGCTGCCATGAGTGGCCCAAGAGAGGAGGCCATGGAGTGGCGGCCATGGAGAGGCCATGGAGAGGCAATGGGATACTCCCTCACAGATGCTGCAGCCGTCACTTGGGACAAGCACAGTTCATTCTCCTCCGTGAGCCTGGCACTGGTGATGGAAATAGGAACATTTTGGGATCAAATCAGAAGCTAGGATGGCTTTCGTAATTCCAGGACTGTCCCTGGACACTTGGGACACTTGGAGGGTATAGCCTGGGGAGAAACCCAAGAGCCAAAGCCAGTGGGTCTATGTTTGTTCCCCACACTTGCTCTTCACAGATAATGCAGATAACTTTTGCTTCTCTAGATTACAGGCCCTCCCTCTCCAGAAGCACACAACCCATCATAGCGACAGGCATTTTGCTAGTATTAGACAAACAGAGATCTCCTCCCTTCC